CTCACAGGATTTGAAAAAACCTTGTCCCTAAATGTTTGAATGGAGAGTGCCCCAATTTGTAAAATACACCTTATGGCAGAGGTGGGCAAATACCGGCCTGCTGGCTGGATCTGGTCCACTAGGCTAGGTCCTGGTGGGCCACCACTATATTTACGTGCATGTATCGGTGATCGCAGCTGCCATTTGGCTGCAGATTGTCGTTCCTGGCCAATAAGAGCTGCAGGAAGTGGTGTCTCGGCCCTTGCTACTCCCATTGGCTGGGAATGGCACTCCACGGCCAACAGGAGCTGCAATCGCCAGTATCCATGGCTGTGCAGGTAAATACAGTGGCAGCGGCCAGCCAGGGACTAAAGTGTTGGAGAATAGCAGCTTTCATCTCTGAAATCAAGTGTCACAGTGTGTCTGATCTCCACTAGTCTGAAAGCAAGAGTCTTCTTGGCTTTGCTCTGACACCTCAGCCCTGAAGGATAGCATAGATAGCCGCTGGGCACAAGAAGCTATATAGACTTATAACAGGAAAAAAAAACCCTTCAGATGTTGGAGCATTACTCATTCTTTGCTTTAATCTACCACTGATTTTCTTTTCAGCCACCTCCAAAATTGCCCAATGGTGTTTTCTCTCCTGAATTTCAAGATTTTGTGAACAAATGGTGAGTGTTTTGTGAGGTGGGAAGTTTCAAGGGGACCATTGCTGGGACATGAATGTGGCTTTTACCCTCTAGTCAGAAAACATAGTTGCTTTAAAAGGATCCCAAAGCTAAGAAATTAGTTCCTTCTCCAAATGTGAACATTGCTACTTTGTGGAGCTGTGAACAATTGTTTCCATATTGTCAATGGTCTTTATGGAATGTCAGCTGCAAAGGGGGAATACTGTACAAACCTGGGGCCTGATCCTGTAAATTCTTACTACTGGGTGTAGTGCTTACAGCCATGAGTAATTCTGTTGAAGCCTTGGCAAATTAGGAAGCATCCTATCCAACAGGTAGAGTTTGCAGAATCAGGCTCTGAATTGTCCACAATTTTAGTACTTGGTTCTGTCTCCCAGTTATCCAAAACCTATGTCCCCTGTGACTGCTCCACTAATCCAACGTGTAGTGAACGGGATGTTTTCTATGTGAATTGACTTCCTATAGGAATTTACACTTGCAAAATTCCCTTTAATTTTTAACTTCTATTTATCAAAACTAGCAGCTTATTTTGTTGTTCCTAGGGCTTCAGGGTCTTAACTAACTGCAACAGCAGCATTTTCAGCTCCCAAGGAGAAAAGGGGACATTTACAACACACACATAGCCAGCAGCCCCTGCTAGTTGAGAGGCTTAGCAAGGTCCCCAGGCTCCTCCTCAGTCCAAGGAATGATGCTGGGGAAAGGGATTTGCAGGTTTTGCACACTGAAAATCAGTTAAACACACAAGTTGCAGGAATTCTTACCTCCTTCTTCCCCCCCGCACCCGTGCCCAAAAGAACACACTCATCAAATAATGCCCAGGATAATTTCATAGATGAAGTTGCAGCCTCGAATGAATTTTACTACCCATTTATGAACACCTAAAAACCCAATAATGGCGTAGATCTTTAAGTGTATCAGGGGGAATTGCACCACTATTATACTTGGGGTGGGGGGGTGGGGAGAAGCAGTAAGAAAAATGCCAGGACACTGAAAAATGTATCATAACCTGCTACTGGTAAAGCCTGTCCTTTACAAGAGACAATTAAGCAATACCTTGCACATTTTCTATTAACTTTTTATGTTTTCTTAGCTTAATAAAAAATCCAGCAGAGAGAGCAGATTTGAAGCAACTCATGGTGAGTGAAAAGCTCCTTGCTCAGTTATTAAGAGGTTCTTGTCCTTTCTAGGTAGCCCAGTACTATAGATCTTTGCAGCTTGGTCCTTCCAAAGACACCAGCTAGAATTCTCCACTCACCCGAGCAGAGAGGAAGGCAAAGACTGGTGGAAGCCACCTCTTCACTTTTTGTGATCCTGTGGCCAGTAGGACACTAAAATGGCTCCTAGCACAATTTTGGTTTGAGGAGTCCCACCATGGGACCATTCTGCCAGCCTGGGATTGGTGGAGTGCTTCAATCTCTAACTCTGTTTTTTGTGTCCCAAGAACACCTCCCCACCCTCCACCTGCTTGTAAGAGCTGACATAAAATGTGGCCATTCTAAGATTTACCTCAGCCAGCCACAGCAGGTGCTGGGGCAAGGTGGGGGGAGGCTGGCTCTGGGCCCCCAGAAGGGGTGGGTCTGAGGGCCAAAGAGGCAGGGCCTAGGGCAGTCAGTCTTTAGCATCACCCGGACCGGACCGCAGCACTGGGACACCGCCCCCCAGCCCTCAAAGCTGTGTGCAGCAGCAGTTGACAAAGGCCTGCAGCTTCTGGCTGCTGCTGCTTCCAGGCCCTGTGCAAGTGCCCCTCTGTCAGCAGACCTGTCCTTAGCTATCCCATAAAGGCAGCTTTAAGGTCCCTGCAGGCACTGTGACCTTAGTGGGATCCAGCTAGTTATTTTCGTCCCTTACATTTGAGAAGTGTTGGGGTCTGTCATTTTTAAAACCTGTATTTTAATAGACACATCTTTGATACTTGTTTATTCACCCCTTAAACTTCCTTTGCACTGTTTAAATGGTCTCTTGGCTTTAATTTAGTAATTCAGTTTATAAAATACTAGAAGATTTACCCAGTGTTGCTTGGGTCCTTAACTCAATTGATGGTTATTTTTTTGAAAAATAAAATGAAAATGTCTGTGCTTCATAAAAACCATTGATCTGTGTTGGGGTTGGGGAGGAGGGGTTCACTATGCAGACTGCCCCTGGGAGGGAGGACTATCCCAGCCCTCTCACTGCAGCAGCTTGGGGCCAGATGAGAAATGCCTCTATGGCTCCTACAGCTCCAGCGGGCACAGCTGGGGGGAGGGGTGCATGTCCCCTGGCTGACGCAGGTCCAGGTTCATCTTCCCCTTTTGTTCCTCAGCCAGAGTGAGGAATGCAGCAAACTGGGCACTTTCCCCTTGCTCCATGGCAATGGGAACAGCCAGCAATATCCCCATATGAATTGTGGGGGGGGGCTTCATCCCTCTCCGCTTTCCCTAATGAGTGCCTGGGAAGTGGGAGGCCTGAGACTGAGGCAGTCCCAGAATGGGGGCACCCCCAATCAGCCCCTTTCACCTGCTTGGTGATTTTGTCTCTTTTCTCTATGGCTTGCTGAGAAGCAGTCCCATTCTAAGCACATCCCACTGTCCTGGCACAACCCAACTCTGCCCTTGCTTTAAGTTAGCATAAGAGGAAGCTGCCTCCCAAATTTGATGGTCCTAGCTCTTGCCATTTAGGAAGCATTCTTGAACAGGCAGGCAGGCAGGCAAACTCTCAACTATATAGTAAACACTGTCTCTTCCTCTGAAGAGAACCACTAAGTCCATGCTCTTTAATTGTGGCTGGTCATTATCAACTGGACCACTCTGGACTGTTTCGGGGGAACATGCAGCTTCCCTTATTTTACCATCAGAGTATTTTTAGAAGATCTAACACCAAAGGATATAGCATATTTGCAGTTCTTAGTCTCTAACTCTGCAAGTTACTCTGCCAGGGCAAACTCCATTCACTTCATGCAAAGTAATCCGATTATTTCCACCACTTAATATAGAGGAAATATAGCACTATGTATGATGGCATAATACTTAGGTAAAGTCATACAGTGCACTATCTTGGATAGTTGTGACTCAAACTTACTGCATACTAAGGCGATTGTCTCTGTAATCACATAGTCAGACACCATATATATGGTATGTGACCGTCAGAGTTCTTTGAGTGTTTTGCAACACACTGCTTCATTATACTAGCATATCAGACCCAAAATATGAAATGAGCTAATCTGTTCTAATCAGATCATGTTGAGTGCAATGCAAAATAGAAGGCCAAACAACATGAACGGTGAAAGTAAATTGGACTTTATTTCTATGTTATCATCTTAAATGCTTTTGTTTTTATCTGAGACTCATTATCCTGTTCTTTAGCTCATTCTCTTTCTGTCTCTTTATTATAGATTCATGTTTTCATTAAAAGATCTGAAGCCGAGGAAGTGGATTTTGCAGGATGGCTTTGTTCGACTATAGGCCTCAACCAGCCTAGTACGCCTACACACGCGGCTGGAATCTGAATACTGAGAGCAAATCTTGAATATCTGTTAAAACGATGCTATTCTGGTCTCATTTCTCAAGCTTGTATCTGTTCAGATATGTATTTCACCTCTTAAGGAAGGAAGTCTGTTCTAGCATGTGCCAAATCATGTTTGTTTTAAATTTTTGTCCTAAATTAATTGGTGTTGTATTGGATTATTTTTACTAAACTGACCAAAATGCGTGAGATGTTGAATTACAGTGCTTGCTGATTAAGTGGACGTGGATATTCATTTTGTAATGGAAACCTCACTAGGGCTACATGGTCCCAGACTGAGTTCTATCAGGATTCCTTGTAAGTTGGTTGTACTTCAATCATGCTTCTCTAGTCTCCCAGACAAGTTTGTTAGGGATCCACCTAAACAATATTTGTCAAGCATGCTTTTGCTGTTATCAAACTGTGCATCTCAGAAAGTCAGTCATAATGGTTCTGATCTTGCTTTTACATAAAGAACTCTTCCCAATTAAATGGGCAGGAGTCCTGTATTGCCATAATACACAGGGCATCATGACTACTTTTAGACTTCTGTTTATATTTCTATATTTATTTTTAAGTGTATTGTCATTGGGATTGGTTATTAGTATGTGTCTCCTTTAATTGGTATTTTTTTAAAAGTAGATTTTTTGAATGTCCTATAGAATCAAGAGCTAAAAGTGCATCAGACTTGCTTCCTTTTAACCCAACTAAAGACGACTTATGAGAACTGTGTGTATAGTGTCTAAAGTGTATGAAAAATCCTTTTAATCACTTTATTCTTTCAGATGATTAGCAGTTGAATCTCTTATACTAATAAATATATTATCAAGTAACTTCTCTAGAGGATGGGTATTTTTAAATTCCTCACTGTAAATTGGGAATAACTGGAATTTAACTAAAAGAGCACACAGCTTTGTTGCAGGGTGTATGTGCACACAAAATGAAACAGCTGTTGAAATATATTCAGGAAATAAGCACCTGTTTGATACTATTATGTTACACAAACACACTTCCAATTACCATAAGCCCTTACAGGCATTTTCTCCTGTACTTTCTCTGCTACTAAGGGTCATTATGCACTGTCTTATGTTGAAGTGAATTGGAATCTAATCCTCTTTTTGGACATACAGTACATAATGCACTCACCTGGGTCAGGCTGAAAAAGGAGTTCACTACTAGCTTCTCTCTAGGCCTTAGTCTACGGACTTTATTTCAAAACAACTGCTCTCTTCCCCATGTAGACATGGACTGAGCATCACATACCCTATTCTTGAACAGAGCACTTTTTCTTACACAGGAGGCAGAGGCTCAGACCTTCAGTTTACAATTTGTTTCTAGAGCGGTGCTTAAATCTTTGCCTGTGTTTGGTGCTAATGTGCACCACAGAAAGTGGTGTTTATGCCTTCTCATAACACAAGAACTAGGTCACCAAATGACAGTAGGCAGGTTTATAACAAACAAAAGGCAGTAGTTCTTCTTAAAACACCCAGTCAACCTGTGGAACTCCTTGCTAGAGGATGATAGGAAGGCCAAGATTATAACAGGTTTCAAAAAAGAACTAGATAAATTTATGGAGGATAGGTCTATCAAATGGCTATATGTTAGCCAGGATGGGCAGGGATGGTGTCAGAATCTGGGAATGTGAGAGAGGGGATGGATCACTCATGATTACCTGTTCTATTAATTCCCTCTGGGGCACCTAGCATTGGCCACGGACAGAAGACAGGATAATGAGTTGAATGGATCATTGGGCTGACCCAGTATGGCCATTTTTACCACCTGTACTACTTGCTGCAATTTGTACCTGCTGTGTGAAATCAGACGTTGATTCAATTATAGTTGCTGGTAAGCTTATTAACAAGTGCCCCTTTTCATTTTGCCTGTTGCTGTGGGAGGAGAGGAACTTTTTTCTGCCCTTTAGTGGTTGTGGTCAGGTGCTATTTTGCAAGTACTGTCCAAGGCTATGTCTACACTGGCATGATTTTGCACAAGAACTCTTTTGCAGAAGAGTTCTTGTGCAAAAACTCTTCCAGAAGAGAGCATCTACACTGGCATGGGCCTTTGCACAAGAGCATCCTTGCCAGTGTAGACGCTCTCTTGCGCAAGAAAGCTCCCATGGCCATTTTAACCATAGGGCTTTCTTGCACAAGAAATTCTTGTTGCCTGTGTACACTGGCATCTTGCGCAAGAACAGTTGCACAAGCAGGCTTATTCCTGAGCAGGACCATCATAGTTCTTCCACAAGAAGCACTGATTTCATACATTAGAACGTCAGTGTTCTTGCGCAAGAACTCGCGGCCAGTGTAGACAGGCAGCAAGTTTTTGTGCAAAAGCGACTGCTTTTGCGCAAGATCACACCAATGCAGACACAGCCCAATAGTTTGAGTACCTGGATTCTGTATTGAATACATAACTAACCATTTCCAAATTACATAGCACAAATCCTGCATTTGTGAGATGGAGTGTAATAAACAAGCACACACCAACTGAAATGATCAAAAAACAAATAATGAACATTTAACATTTGGGGGAACCATTCCCCTTTTCAAGTAAGTTTCTTAAGCCAGTTCTGGCTGTTAAAAAGCTTAAAGCAATACCTACCTTATTATGTTATGTGAGGGTTGCATGTTTAGTATTTGCTCAGCTGTGTTTTAAAAATGCCCTTTTGATTAGCCGCTGGTACTATTCAATGAGAGCATTCTGCAGAAATATAGCAAAAAAGGGAACCCCTGCCCCCAAAACACTGAAACCCAAGTCATTGGGAAATCTTATGAGAACAGATGGATTTTTAGAGCTTTCTGGTCCTGGCTCCATCAAAAATATTCAGACAGCCTTTCTTGTCAATCACACATCCGCTCCCTACAGCAGAGGCAAGTAAACTTTAAGATCACATACACTTACAAACATTTGAGAAAGATTTAGTAAGACGAACAGGAAAAGATTTAGATCCCTTATCTTATTTGAACCTGTTTAGCCAGCTGGACTCTATTATAATCAAGGAATGGTAGGGATATAATCAAGGTATGTTAGTAATAACTTTCCCTGGAAGCAATTTTAAGAACCGCATCAGTCTGCTTTAAAATTAATATGACCTTTAAAAAACACATTCTGAAAGGATGAAAACCTTTTGCAGTATATAAGATGTATCCTATGCACAGACTTGGAAGGCTGAGCAGTAAGTGTCAAGCAATGTCACCATACACACAGATGAAAAAATATTTCCATTGATAAATTTACAGACAAGCAAAGAAAGAAAAATGCTGCTTGAGAACTAAGTTTGATTTGTGGATATTTAATTTGTATATGTTGACATGATGATCACAATATGTTATTGAGATTCACCATCTGTCATTCGGTAATTATCTGAACCCTGCTTTATTTCCCACAACAGAAAATTTAAATAACTAAAAATAGAAAAAAAGATCTTAAATATCTGTTGAAGTTATTTTAAAAATTGAGTTTTGCCAAACCTTCTAGGTTTATGGCAAAAGCTCAGAGAGCTTTTGACCAAGCTCTCATAAAGGTAGGCTGAAGTTTGGAAGAATATCTCCCCATGGTTTTAAAAGCAAAGAGACAAATTAAAACTGGCTTCCTTTCTTGCTATTATTCTGCCTGTCAGATAATTGTAGGTTAGATGAACACCAAGTACATACGGTACTGACTGTCCAAGTAGAACCCAGTCAATACTGGGCTGAAACAATTAAACTCAGTTTAGATCTGAATACTGTTGTATCCCATTCAAGTTTGTCATGCTCACCCCTATCAGAATCTGAGCATGTTCCATGTGCCTTATGACATGTTTAAAATAAGTCCTGTGTGATTTATTCTGGCTCAGCAAAGAAAATACTCCAACCATATTTATTACATTAGATTTTTTTCCCTTTTGTATTAATACAACAAGTAATCTGCTTTGGACTTAGAATGGAAGATGGTGAGGTTTATGGTTAGTTGGTTCCAGTAGGAGTAGACTCAGCAGTCTTTGGCTGGCTCCCATGAAAGCTCTACTTCCTGCACAGTTAACTTTTACTCTCACTACAGATACTTACATTGTGCCTGAAGAGCAAAGTTGAACATAGTCCTTGTCCTAGAATTATGATTTTGACATGATATTCCTTGGGGAGTCAGTGTAGAAAGCTGAGGGCAAGTTTGATGTGCTCATACAGTTGTACTACTGTGTTTTATACTAGGCTGCAGTTTTCTGCAAACTGATTGTTTCATGCCTATGTAGCCTGCATTGCTGTAGTCCAGCTGCTGAGAGGTGACTAATGCATGTATTATTGAAGGCAGGTAATCTGCCACCAGGAGATGGAGAAGTCTATTAACAGCTGGGAACGGTAGCAAGCATCTCATTCTAAAAGCTTAGCATCAGCAAGGAATCCAGGAGCACTTGTAAACTGACTTGACCAACTATGGATATATATCTTTAACCAAAGGAGACTGGACAGGGGCTGCAAACTCACCATCAGCATCATGCATCTTGCCAGGGTTCAGCTTCAACCAGGTGTTGTTCAGTTATGAGCTGGCCACTAACAATCACTAACTTGCTGAAAATGGCATTATAGTACACATTGAGCAGAAGCATACGAAGTATTGATCCTTGGTTGATACTCAATGGTGGCAAAGAAGTAGCTTCCCCCTCACTAAGGCTTTGAGCCAATGCTTTCAGAAAGGATTCAAACCGCTCCATCACAATGCCCAGAACTTATGTCATCCACATCAGTTTCTCATGTTCAGTAAGCTCAAATGCTACAGGAGGATGGCAGTCTGCCTGTATCCATCAACAGCATC